AACTTGTGGTTTTGGATTCTATATTTGGGGTTCTAAACCAGAAATACCTAAACAAGGCTTGATGTTCAGAAAGTGTTGAATATGTCCACTATGGAAACTAGGCACCTTTAATAACAGTGCCAAGTCTCAAAATTTATGCAAAAAATATAGACGAGATACTAAAATCACAAACACTATTTCAGTGTTTAAGTAGGCAAAACTGAAAATGGCAGTAGTAGCCTAAATTTCATTTACAGTAGCTTTTTAAACAGAAGGTAGAGAAGAAGTGTTATGCAAGGAAAACAAATTTAATCAGTTCAGACAATCATGTCTGATTGCCACAGCATTGCCACAGTAAGAGCTCCCGACAGTACTTTCCCTAACTTGAATCAGGTTTCCTGTCCCTTTCTCCAGCTACCTAGGCTGGAAGTACTATCAGTAAATTCTAAAAAAAAAAAAATAGAAGGTAAGAGACTTGCCAAAGTCTTTTAAATCATCCAAGCTTTTTTTTTTTCCCCTTTCATTCCTTACAGATTTAAAATTTAGCATGAAACACTCTTCTATTAAAGCTCCAGATTTGAAGAACCGTGGGTAACTAACCTGCAATACATGTCACTTCCTGTATGAAGTTCCATCTCACTTTCAGGTCTCTATGAAGTTTTCTTATACGTTTTGCAACACACGCATAAACTTTTAATTTTGGTCTTTCAACGCACAACATGGGTGCAAACGCTAAAGCCTCCCAGTCTTCAGAGGCTCAGTTTAGTTACTGTCCGTTTCTAAGATGCTGAGGAGCCCCATCTGCTGGTAGAAGTCTTACTCCAGGGAATTACACCCCTAAGATCACTGATTTTTATCAAGTGGTACATTGAAAAAAAATCAGTTAACTGTTTGGAGGTTTTTTTTTTTTAAACGCAGCCATACACAAAAAGTTAAGAGCAAATTGTTTCCATGAAAAATATAAAATCTTCTAAAACAGTGCATTCCTTCTTAAATATGTAAGATATGCATACAAGCTGCTTCAGATGATCTTTCCTGACAATAGGCTTTTCTTCAGTTAACACAAACTGAAAACATCAACTCACCTATAGCAAACATTTTAGTACAACATTCACTGAGTCACAGAGAAGATGGTAAAGTGCATGTTGGTTAATCTGAGAGAACATAAATGGAAGACTGTTCTTTTATCCTGATTCGAACAGGATACGCACACACACTTAAAACGTAAGAAACCACATAAACAGTTCTATATATACACATTTTAGATGCAACCCTGCGTGATATAGACGATTTAGTCATAGTAATTTAGATGAGAATAAAGAAATTAAGATTGTTAAAAAAAAGATACCCAAACCAAGTATTTCCTTCTTCTCCATAACAAAAGAAAGAAAAAAAAAAAAAATCTTTTCCCAGAAAGGGAAATTCTTAGTTTGTGCCGAAAAATTTAAGAGGAAAATACTTAAGCACATAAGAACAGATATAAAATGCAAACCTGTTTGGCTGAATACTGAAAAAACTGCACACAACTTTAGATCTTTTGATTTAAGCATAAATTAAACTTCCACAGTCAGTCAGATCTGCTTAGACAGAGCTCTCAATTTTGAGAAATCTCCGCTAACATTGGACTCTTCAAAAGACGTATGTCTTAACACATCAGCTGAACATAAGGGCTAAATCCAAGATATTTACACATAAAAATATTCACAGCTATTCACATGACTAACTGAAAGCACAGAGTTCTAAGGCTCTGGATTGCCTACTCTCTCTGATCATACAAGGATTTTAGGCTTCTAACTTTGCTTTGAGTTTTATCCGAATCAGCTGTTGAAAGTAAACAGTGCAAACATCCTGAGTCTCTGCGTATTCCCATTACAGGGAAAGAAGATGCGCTTCCACTGCCTGGATTTACACGAGCAATTCAAGGCAGGTGTTTTTGGAAGAAAACAACAGAAAAGGTAAGTTGTGGGAAGACACAGGATCAGAGAAAAAAAGAAATAGTATATCTGCATTTTCAACCAGTTGTTTTATGCCTATACCTCAAAATGGAGAACTTCAGGCAATGGTAGACAGGTAAAAATGCCCAGAAAATAAACTCCTGCTGTCATAGACATTAGAGGTTTAGGGGCTCGTGACCCTAGAAAGATAGTGAAATTAGTTTCATGACATCAAGTCAATACTTAATCTAATTGTGCCCTCTACTGGCCTGGAAGGTCCTTGTGTAAAATTGCAAACTTCAAAGATGCTACTGCTCACACCATTACAGTCTTCGATTTCATCAAGAAATAACTGTAAGAAGCATTCATAGGTATTTCTCTACAGGCTACCTTCCAAAATATAGAAGTATGTTTTAATATACATTGTAACAGTGACATTATTATTTTATTAAATGTTTTAAACTCACATGCCCTGAAGTGTTGCCAGCATGAACGTATTCTATTTATATTGAATTTCCATGGTTTTGGGCACCTAAAGCAATTAGATTTCTTCAAAAAACAGCTTTACTGTTAAAGATTGCTTCCAATCAGAGGTGGTAACACTACTTTACAAAAATAAAGTAATCTTTCTTTCTGCTTAGAAGACAAAACCCAGAGGCTACTATTTCCATTTTTTAATAATTTTACATTGCAATAACAACTTTGATTTTGATTGTTTTACCAAACTTAACACATTCATAATTTCATTCATCAGTAAAATGAGGCTCTGGGATAGTAAAACAAACATTAAGCATATGGTGTGACAGTTTAAGACAAAAAAAGTCAAATTCAGATATATTGAAGTCAAAAGTGCACATAGTTTTGTACAATCCAAATTTAAATTGCTGCTTACCAAAAAGGTCCATCAGCACTTTTTCCTTATCTTAGTCTTTTTCTTCTAAGTCTATCCTTCAAGTTGCAGGCAAGATTTAACTTATTCAATATATTAAAGAACACTTGCAAAGAAAAACAAAGGTACTTTTTTCCTCCGTTTAGACAAAGATGTAAAAAAAAGCTTGGGAAAGAAGATAAAGGAGGAATTACAGTTCAAAGTATTCAGTCTTTGATGGTGTGATAGGTTATGCTGACTACAGAAGCAGTGAAGTTGTTATAGGTTAAGAGAATAAAAGATAAGCAATTGAGAGGAATAAATTTTATTCATGCTATAGTTCTGGGGTTTTCTCTTCTGTGAGCATCAGTACTTTTAACAGATTTCAAGAGAAAGAGAAAAAGAAAAAAAAAACCACTACACACAAAACTCCGTCCAACACTCAAGAACATCATTGCTTCAAAGATACAGAGTCAGCACATATTTCACAAGGCCCCATGGCAAAACTGGGGAAAGAAGAAAGGAAGAAAAATTCTAAGGTAAGAAAAATCATACAAAAGCTAAACTAAATGAAACTCAATTCTCCACTACAAATTAAAGAGCAAAAGAGTAAAAAAAAAAATCTCCATTTTAATGAGAGAATTTAAGAATATTTTGTGCTACATTAAATAAGAATTTAAATTCGGTTTTAAAATTCCCTCCTCTTCTTTGGTTATAGGGGTATGCTGATACTAAGGGTGTTCTTGCCTCTTTACTTGGTAAGATTTACTTAAAGCCCTAAATTTTAGAACCAAGTTTTAAAATAACTGTACCTGCTATGGTAAATACATGTTAGAAACAATAAAGCACGCCTTCCACCAAAAAGGACACTTTCTGTGCACCCTTATGAAAACTATGTTTCTGTGTAAACCCACTTCAGAAGACTGTTACTGAACCTAAAGGTGGCATTAGCCCTGTATCTGGGAAAGCACACAGATAAAATATTTTTATTACCCACTGTTAAAACAAAAGTAAGGTTCATTGAACTGACTAAACTAACAAAGACCTGAAGCTAAATTCACTAAAGCTAGGAGGAAAACACACTAAGTATTGAACAATTAATCCCTCAGGATTAGATCAGGACACCTTTCTGGGATGCAAGACCTGCCACATAAGTTCAGATGAAAAATCCATCTGACCTGACATATCTCCTCCAGCAGTGGTCACTTAAGGCCACCAGAAAGGTAACGTTCCTCAAAACGTTCCTCAGTGTTGGCAGCTAGTTGTTTAATGACTTAAGGCAGAATTGGTATCCAGACCATAGTGCTTACAGCCATTGTGACATTAAAGTAGGAAATAATGAAAACCTAACGTTAGTACAGATTATGAGAAATTACTGTCATGGTTTAACCCCCATCTGGCAACTAAGCACCACTGGTGGGATGGGGGAGAGTATCAGAAGAGTAAAAGTGAGAAAATTCATGGGTTGGGATAAAGACAGTTTAATAGGGAAAGCAGAAGCCGCGCGCACAAGCAAAGCAAAGCAAAGCAAGGAATTCATCCATGACATCCCATCAGCAGGCAGGTGTTCAGCCATCTCCAGGAAAGCAGGGCTCCATCACACATTTAACAGTTACTTGGGAAGATAAACACCACCATTCCAAATGTTCCCCCCCTTTCCTTCTTCCCCCAGCTTTATATGCCGAGCATGATGTCATATGGTATGGAATATCCCTTTGGTCAGTTGGGGTCAGCTGTCCCAGCTGTGTCCCCTCCCAACTCCTTGTGCACCCCCAGCCTACTCTCTGGTGGGGTGAGAAGCAGAAAAAGCCTTGACTCTGTGTAAGCACTGCTCAGCAATAAGGAAAACATCCCTGTGTTATCAACACTGTTTCCAGCATAAATCCAAAACACAGCCCATACTGGCTACTATGAAGAAAATTAACTCCACCCCAGACAGAACCAGCACAATGACCTAGTAGAGGTCTAACTTCTTAAGATCTAAAACACTAACACGTCTAATACAAAAAAAAAAAAATCCAAAATATTGGAACTGACTGTAGGTATAGTGAAGGATTAGGCTGAAAGTTCATAATAGGGTCTTGTACTTCAAATCATCTCCTCAAATTCTGAATATATTGGAACTCTTAAGCACGCACAAACAAGGATGTTATTCCCAGAAGATCATTATTTAATACGGTATTATTAAGTTTGATGATTGGTCCACAAAGCATCTTGTTTTACATTACCTTGACTGTTTTGTCCATAGAAGCTGAGAGAAGCATGTGACTTTGTTCTCGTACAGGACACCACTGGATTTCATTGACAGGGCCGCTGTGTTGAGGCATGTAAAATATTAAGTTTTTGGGGACTTCAGTTAACTTATATTTTGATCCCAAATATGGCTTAATTAATTCAGAGATCTTTCTCGAAGTTTGTGAAGTTAAGCTAGGCATATCAGGAGAGCAATCAGAGCTCTCTCTCTGATCTGATTCTTTTTTTTCAGGCATACTGGAATTTTCTTTACGCAATCTTTTAGGGATATATGGTCTAATTCCTTTTATGGCAGTAGTACTGTCTTTATGTATTCTTTTCTGGGAAATGCCATTTCCAGAGTTTGTTGAAGAGCTTGATGCCTGTTCATAGTTTTTGTAGGATGTACATAATGCAGTATGGCCAGAGTATGCTTTCCTACAATAAGGTGATGTCAAATCATTGTTATTATTCTGTGCATAACGCTCAGAGGGATCTTCACAAACAGTCCTTGTGCCAAAACTGTCAGCGTTCTCAGTAGGCTGAATTTCATATGTAGATTTTGTACCCAAACTACCAGGTGTAAAGTACTGAACAGGATCCACAGAAGAACTCAGAAGGCTTGTTTGTCTGCTGGAAGTACTGGGGACTTCAGTCTTTTCAGGTTCTGCCTCAGAGTCTGAATCATCATAAGCAACCAGTGACAAACTCATTATGGCTAGACACAGCAGACTCCAGAAATCTCAGTACTGGAATCCTCCAAAATGACGATCTACAAAAAAGAATTGATTATTCAGAGCACAATTTGTTATAGAGTCTACAATCTGAGTAACTTCAGGATATAAATGTGCTTTTCTTTTAAAAAAAAAATCCATAATTTTTATTCCTGTTTATTAATGAAATTTGTTCCTCTATTATAACACATCTGTACATTCAATTATGCAACACCGTTTGCCTCCAAGCACTTTCCATACATTTTTAATGCACTGCAGAGATGCATTCACATACCACAAAACAACAAAAATGAGCATGAAAAGGAAAACAAAATTGCGACATAAGTACTGCAAGTCACTTTAACCTTACTTGCAGTAGCACTTCCCCCCTACACACACACACACGAAAGAGGGCAATTAGTTATGCAGTGTTTTGGTATGTACATTTATAGGAATATAAATACTATCACTATTTTTGAGTCAGTCTAACAAAATATATTTATTAACAGTATAGGTGACTTGAAAGACTTATGAAGCGGTTCAACTGGCAACTAAAAAAGTAAATGCACTTTTGACCCTCTCAATAGTCTTGCAATATGACGAAATTTTGCAACTATACCCACAAGAGCAAGTTCCACACGGCCTTTACTTTTACAGAACAGGCTTATGCCAGAAGCTACAACGAATTCACTATTTGCATTTACTTACAGAAAAATAAGAGCACGGATGCCTTGTTTACTGTGGAATACTTTTTCAAACTGACTGTGAGAAAGAAATCTCATGCTGAGTCTGCATATGAAAACATGCTGAATAACTCACCACAACAATCCCACTAAGCTTCTTCCAAAAATCTGGACAGAGCATGTGGGCTACAGGGTTCAAACAATTGATGTATCTGCAAATACAATCTTTCAACCGTTGCTGTTTACAGTCAAAAAGTACTGCTACCCTTCAATTGCCAAGATTGACTAAATGGGGCATTTTATTTCTGCTTTATTTCCTTGCCCAGCTGTTAGCACTCATCATGCTAAAGTGGTTTAACCCACAACACTTTCAGATCAGCTGCAGAAATTCTGGGTTTAGGTCAGTGAAGAAGCTGCCCTCATAAGCACCTGGATCAAAAAGAGAATGCTGCACGAAAGTCAGTAGCTATAAAAGCATTTGCAGAATTGATGACACAAAGGTAGGTCCTACAAATACTACTGCAGGAGTACTACACTGGAACTTGTAAAGATTATTCATTTAACTTCAGAATTAGATCTCTTTGAATTCAAACAAGCATGTTTCATGTAATCTACAGAAGCGTTACATCACAGGCTATGGCCTGTAATGAAAATTCCAAGATCCAGAAGATATGTTCCTATTAAGATATACACATTCACCATCACAGATCCTTTCCAAGATAAGTGATCAAGACATTTAACTGGAACAAGGACTTAACATTTTAGCACACAAAAGCATCAACATCTCCCTCTAGAGGGCATTTTGCTTTTTCTGAAGCTTACGACAGCTATAACTGACAGCAACTAAGAACAAGGAAAAATTCTTTTTTTAATAATACAGCTTCGTTTATTAAAACAGCATTTCACTTGAACAGTGTCAAGAAAATAATTAAGTAGTGTTTCAGGAGAAAAACTAAAAATTCAATTCAAAAACAGTAAATTGAAGCATTTAGCAGTAAACTGAAACCTCTTATCAAATAAATAACTTTAAAGGACTGCACTTCATTGCATCAAGTTACTATCCGTATTGCAGTGCTGGAAACAGACCCCAGTCAAAATGCATCATGTTTAAAGAACAAACACAGTAAGAAGCTGGTCTCTGGCTGAAAGCTATAAACGAAGACACACAAGTGGACTGGGTTAGACTTTCAAAGTTACTTTACTGTCTTTTAATACACATTAAAAAAAAAAAAAAGAAGCTGAGATTCGGAGGTAAGTGCAGGACAGTGCCTTGCACACCCCAGGTTAAAAAAAGTTCCCTATGGGATATTGGAAAGAAACTGTCCCATTACATTTGGTCAGCATAAATCCATCCTGCCACACACATCACCCGGAAGCCTCACCGCTTTTGTAAAAGCAAAGCATCTGTGTCATCTTAAGACCTCCCCCCTTCAACTTCTGTTTTTAAAGAAACACCACCTCAAAGTTTCTCATGCCGTAACTAAAGAAAAACGGAGGAGGAAACGGAACATACTTCATTGGAAAGGAACTGTAACGAGATTACGAACTTATTAACGATGCGATTTACAGCGTACTAAGCTAACGGGGAAACTTACAGAACTTTTGCTTTTCTTTCGTTTTCACACGGCAGATTTACCTGCGGCCATTACACCAAGGAGCACGGAATTTGACTCGCACCACACGGCCCGCCCGCCCAGTGACAGTCAGCGTCAATCACGGTGCCACACAAACACTGAGAGGGGTCTCCGGAGGGCCCTGACACCGAGGCCGCCGTCCTC